AACTTTAATTGCTGTAGTTTTGTATTAAGTTTTAAATTCAGGTTGTGTTGCTAGTGTCATTTTGTTATTTTTCAAAATTGTTTTGGCTATTCTAGGTTCATTATATTTCCATTTGATTTATGGAACTGGTTTTATAATGTCCAAAAAATATATCCTGAGATATGATTATATTAAGTCTGTGTTTATAAATATAGATTTTGTAATTATATATTTGAATATGATTGTAATAAATCTATATTTAATATTGGTGAATTAAATATTGACTATACTGATCTTCTAGTCTTCTACCACAACTCTTCTGATTAGAATAATGTGTTGGGAGGTTACCAGGTTCAGTAGTTCGATAGAATAACTATCAAGAATCTGCATACTAATGGCTATTATTAATTATGGAAGAAAACACATAGTCAGGAAAGGGCAAAGGCCCATGGAATGCAATCCAGAGGAAACCAGACACATATTTCCAAGGGCCACATTCTAGTTGAGTCCTACAGGATACACTGCATCCCCCCTTTAATGAGTTGTGACAAAGTGCCAACCAGGGAAGCCAACCAGAGACATAGTATGCAGAGTTTTATTAGTTGTGCATAATATAGACTGCTACTGTCTAGACATAACATTATTTCAGACTCTCAGAAGGAAACAGGTATTCAGCATAAACCACACAGTATGTACAAACAGTGTAGGCACAGTGAGCTTTTCATATCAATTAGTGGTCTGAATCCTCTTGAAATGTAAGATCTCAGATCGCAGTTAATCACATCTTATAGGCAGCTATTTTCAAGTACAGCAGCCCAGGCCCGATGTGCTGGTTGTTCTGAACAAAATCTACTGAGACAAATTGTAAATAAAACTAAGGAAAGTCACCTCCTGATCTTCTAAAATCATAGTTATATGTAACCTGTAAAAGCTGTACTTTTGTGTTTATCCCTTTCATCTGATTTTCTTGCTGCCTTATTGAACAATTTAGAAAAAAATCCCTCTGAAGGTCTTAAATCATGAAAATATATTGAAGATACATATATAAGATTAAAAATTACTAGACTTAGGATCAATTACCTGTAAATAGCAGATTTCAATGTGTCCACTATTTTAACTTATGTTTATAAATATTTTATAAATAAACTAAGATTGATATAAAAATAGGTTTTTACAACTTATAGAATACTATTTTTGGTGCTCTCTATGTATTTTATAAAACTTTATATCAATAATTAGCACTGATGCAATTAGTCTTAATTCAAATTGGTATAAGTCTCTCAACTTTAGATAATGATTTTATTTGACAACATTATTGCATGATAATGTTATTTATTCTGTGATAAACTCCTCAGAGAATTTTGTTGCTATAAGCAAACATCTCCCTCTGAATTGACCTACAGTTCTCAGTTTTCTGCTACTTGATAATATCTGAATGCAAATTCATTGAAATCTTGCAGTTTTAAATAACAAGGTTAATTTTCTTAAAGATAGAACATCCCTCATACAAAATAAATGAAGTTATTTAATTGAAAATTAATATATAATGAACAGTATCTTTGTTTTACATTACATGTAGTTCGTTTCAATTATTACCTTAATTTCATCTGTTCTTTATTTTCTTCTTCATCAGTCCTTTCTACACTTAGAAGCCTGCTGCAGATTCCTTTGCTGTCTTACTCTTTCAATGAAACTCATAAATAAAATATAATCCTTTTTATCTATTAAACATGTTAGGTTATGGGTGAAATATCATTGTATGGAAGGAAAACTATTTCTCATCCAGCAGATTACTTATCAATTATAAAGAAAGATGTTTCTTTAAAATGAAGAAATACGGCAGATACGTACTCCTTTAGGAAAGGTGTTAAGCTTAGTGCCACCAACAATGGGACACTCTGACATCATGAGTTTCCTGAAGGAGCATTAAAAATGTATAAGATCAGTGATATTCCTGTCAAAAATATTTCACCAAATTTCATCATGGAGATGGGGCTGGGGTTGTGACTAAGCAGTAGAGCGCTGGCCTAGCACATGTGAGGCCCTGGGTTCAATCATCAGCACCACATAAAAATAAATAAACAAAATATAGGTATTTAAAATTTTTTAAAAAAATTCCGTCATGGAGAAATTATTTGATAAGAACAAACTGAGGAATTCTACAAACAACTTTCTGCATTCTTCACCAAAATAAATACCATGCATGACAAAAAGACTGGGAAACTTTCTAAACTAAAAAAAGGTGAAGGAGCTTAAATATAAGGTGGAATCCTTGACTAGATCATGAATTTAAAAAATTAAAGATATACAGCATATTAGTTGAACATTTTGTGAAAATGTTGTTGCAGCAAATAATTTTGCCTCAGTTTCATATGAGATAATTACATTGCCACTAAACTGGAGAATATCCTTGTTTTTGGTAATACATGCAGAAACACCTAAGTTTGAAATATGATGGCTGAAATTAATTTTCAGATAATTTTACAAGTATAGCATCAATGTACACATACATATATACCTAACATTTGGTGAAGGTAGATGAAGGGCATATGAGTATTTTTATATTATTCTTACAAATTAATGAAGGTGAAAAATATTCCAGAATAAAAACTTTTTTGTGAAAAACAAAACATTTTATTTATAAAACTATCTTGAATAATTCAAACTTCAGTATCTAGAAGACTTGGAAATGTGCATAGCACAGATCATTATTTTCTTAGAAAAACAACTAAAATTCTCACAGTTTTCCATTTTAACTAAGATTCATACATATTTATATTTAGGTAATTATAACCAAAGTTAAATATGGTAAAGTTATATGAAGACAGAAAGCAGAAAAACAAATGAATAATAAAGGAAGATATTAAGTATATTTATTTTTAGTAACAAAATTTGTGTTGTATTAATTAATTAGAAATTCTATAAAGTGAATAATTCAAATGGAAGGTACTTCTAGAATTGAAGGTTAGATAAACTGTTAAGAAGTCAGGTATGAACAGCATTTGACATCCTGAGTCAAAATGAGCAAACCCAAGGAATTATCTATGGATTTGAAGGTGGATATAAAAATATTACACACATTGTGGCACAAGTAATTCTCATGAAGATCACTTCTAAAAATAAAAATAAATATTATCGCTGGGTGCAATGTCACATGCCTGTAATCTTAGTGGCTTGGGAGGCTGAAGCAGGAGGATCTTGAATTCAAACCCAACCTCAGCAAAAGCAAGTTACTAAGCAACAGAGTGAGACACCGTCTCTAAATAAAAAAACAAAATAGGGCTGGGAATGTGGCTTAGTGATTGAGTGCCCCTGAGTTCAATCCCTTGTACTAATCAATCAATCAATAAAAACAGGGCTGGGGATATGGCTCAGTGATTTGAGTGCCCCTGAGTTCAATTCCTGGTACCAATAAATAAACAAACCAGCAAACAAACTCTATTGCTGTTCTAAAAATGAGGGGTAAATAAAATGTTAGATATTACAAAGAATTCGTGAATGGAAGCTATGGAAAAAGTTACAGACATGGAGGAGAGAATGAAGTGTTCCAATTTATATTCCTTAGGAAATATTCTCTAAGAGAAAATTAAGAATCATTTAGATAAAAATGGGCAATAATTTTCCAGTACTAAAGATACCATATATCTTCATATTCAGCAATGCCAGTAATTTCTAAATAAGTTTAATGAAATAATTATACTCCTAAAAATATCTACCCATTACCATTGGTCTATAGTGTTCATTAATAGGGATCCAGAAAAATATTTTGATTTCTAAATAATGGTTTAATGAGGCAATTCACTGAAAAGCTTGATTCATTTAGCAAAAAAAAAAAAAAGTAGTAATGACAGAAGGCAAAATAACTTATGGTATAAAAATGTTCACATAATTACAGGTTCTAGCTAATTAAAATGAAAACTGCAACAGAGTAAATGAGGCTGCAGAGGTTAATATATATGTTCAAATATTAAGTATATTATTAAAATACAATTTGAGTATTATTAGCTCAATCTAGTGATTCCAGGTTTTGATTCAGGACTTTGGCTCTTTCTTGTATAATTTGCATCCATTTGGCTTTTATTATCACCTTTAATAGCATTTAGAGTGAAGGAGAGCATAGACTATGAAGATCTATCCTGAATGTGTTGGTTTGTTGGTAACAAACATCCATCCTTTCTGCTCATGGTCAGAATAAAAACTTATGTCCCCTATAAATCAAGGGAAATGTGGTCTGGTTCTGTTTTCAGAAAAATTAGTGAAGATATTTCTAATAAAGAGCTACTACTAGTCTATGGCACAAAATAGAATAAACCATTTCTGAGACTATGACTTAACCCAAACCCATTCAAATATAATTAGAAAATCTGAAAGTAAAACCATAAAGACATTGCATTACTAATTGCAATCTAACCCCATATAGGTAAGCCAGAATGTTTCAAGGGTGAGTCCTAAACATCTCAAAAATAGCCCCATTTTCTGAAAGTTAGAAAAAAAGAAAAAAAAGTAAAGACAGAAGAGGTAATGTATTGCGGCTAATATAAGTGACCAAAAGGAAAGAAATATTATAGACAATTAGAGACATTGATACAGTGAATTAAATACCATATTAGAAATCTGAAGCATGTGTATATATAAAATTATGTACATATCTTGATTATCCTCATATTCAGACACAAATTGATGCATATTTCAGGAATGTAGTGAACCTCTGATCCCCTAAATTTGAAGAAACAGAGCTTGAACCATATTTCTCTTTGTTCTTATTTTATAACTAAAGGAAGAACCATAATTGCTCTGACATGGGTACAGATATTGTAGGTAAAACTGCATTTATATTTACTGGATAATTTTGAACATTGCATGAAGAAGTACAAAGTACTTAAAATAATTACTCGCCTTTTCTGAGTCATATTTATCTTGATTATCAATCTATCTCAGTCCTTCTAGTAGATTTGCTAATGTTTTGAGAAATACAGCAATGCCTGTTAAACTCAAGAGTTTCATAATTCTCTTATGTTTAGGTTGCTTGGAATTGAAAGAAGACACCATTGAGAACCTTCTTGCTGCAGCATGCCTTCTTCAGCTTCCTCAAGTAGTGGAAGTGTGCTGCCACTTCCTCATGAAGCTTCTGCACCCATCTAACTGTTTAGGAATCCGAGCATTCGCAGATGCTCAAGGGTGCATCGAATTAATGAAAGTGGCCCACAGCTACACAATGGTAAGGACGTTAATATCTTAATAATAGATACACTGTATGAACAAGGGTGAAAATAATTACTGTGGCGACACTGAACAACTTTTAAGTTTAAATGAGTTTTGTATGCTTAGCATTTTTTCATTATTTGTTACATGGGATATATTACCATAGTCATATCTCATAATCTCAACATAAAGATAAACGATGTGATATACTTTATTATTGCTTTTATGGCTTTATTTACACTTTACAGGCAATGTAAGTATTAATGCTTACTACTTGGGATTTGAAAGTTGTATAAACCGATTTTTCTTAATTGCCACATTATATGTATCTTTTTACACCCAATTCCATAGTTGCTGACTTTTTTTGATGGTGGTGGGGTACCGGGGATTGAATTCAGGGGCACTCAACCACTGAGCCACATCCCCAGTCCTATTTTGTATTTTTTTTTTTAGGGACAGGGTCTCATTGAGTTGCTTAGCACCTTATCTTTGCTGAGTCTGGCTTTGAACTCTTTTTAAAAAATATTTATTTCTTAGTTATAGGTGGACACATTTTATATTTATGTGGTGCTGAGAATTGAACCCAGTGCCTCATGCATGCCAGATGAGCCCTTTTCCTCTGAGCCATAACCCCAGCCCCTGGCTTTGAACTCTTGATCGTCCTACCTTAGCCTCCCAAATCACTGGGATTCCAGGCATGTGCCACTGTGCCTGGCTATAGCTGCTGATTTTTTTTTTATGTTTTCTTCTGTATTATCTTTCAACCATTCCATGATAGCACATTATGTTTGCTACAGCTTTGCCTACATGATATGTGGAGAAAAATTTAAAGCTACATTGTATATTATATAGTGAATATTGAATTCCAGAACTCTTGGGAACTTCTGTACTAAATATTTAGTTTCATAAAATAATTTTTCTTTATTTACAAATTTGATTTTCAACACTGTTTTTATAATTCAAAAGTTTTAGTGAATATCACTCAGTAGATGTTTGTAAAATAAATTAAGCCTATTTCATAATTTTTGTTTGATTTTCTTCACACACAAACATTTTTACCAGCATTATGGACATTCTAAAAGTAATTCAAATTGTATACTTTATATGTGTGAACATTATGGTATTTTTTGATAATTCTCATTCTGATATAGAGTAACCTGTTACAACAGTTTGATACCCATCTGATTTTATGTGTAGAAACAATTACTGTAAAAGCATTTAATAATTACTGTAAAAGCACTTAATGTATTTTCTGACTTAGTGTAAACCTTGTATAAATGCTAGCCAATTTTGAAAGTGTTATTTTTGCTAATATTATTAAATTTTGATCATTATAAATTGAAAAAAAACAATTATAAAGTATTATATTACATTTCAACTCAAGGGAATAATTTATTGGAGATAGATCTCATTAAGCTTTAAGGTTTCTGTTTCTTTCACAACTCAGACTTTGATTTTCAAATCACTGGTGAGAGCTACATGAAAGTATTCTAAATAGAGTTTTAATATGATTTTCATTTTATTCTTTAATACTTTAAGCAGATTAGTACATTAGATGAAAATAGAGAAATGAAAAGGAGATTCATGAATTGTAATTCTGCTGTCAAATCCTCTTTCAGTAGTATTCCATGACTGGGCACAGTACTACTTTTGAAATTATATGAACCATAAAAAATCAGTGTAAACAAATACTTCATCAACTAAAATATCAAAGTCCATCTGCTGTCATTTAATTAGGCTCATTTCATTACAATTAGAAGCTCCTGGCTTAGCTAAGCTGAAGAACAATATGCTTCCATAACCAGAGGGATGATGGTCCCTTCTGGTCCAGTTTGAAATTATTAATTTAGTAATAAAACTGTTTTTCTTGCAGCTGCTTGGATTGTTCAATAATTTCTCACTCAACAGCAGCAGTATTTTTTGCAGACTTTAAAAGATATATTCTATATGAAAATATATTTAAAGCAAACCAATCTAAGATGATGCACATTCCAAATATCTCTATCTTAATTTATTTTTGAAAATCTATATTGCTTATGTATTGTGTCATATCTGTTGAAATTTAAATGATTTCAAATTATTTTTGAGCCATGGTGTTCCACCATATTGCAGTAGCTCACGGTCACACTCTTTGAGAGAAAGTTTACTATTTATTTTCCTAGATCTCTCTTTTCCCTTGATTATTACACTTTAAAATTAGCATTTTGCATCTGATATTACAATTTCTCATCACATATTTGCCTCTGATCCTTGTCTAATCAGGCATATGTCTCATCCAATCTATTCAATCTGTGCTTTGAAACAGATCTATTGTGCTGTATTTTCTTTTTCCTTTTAACTGTTTTGATAGGAAATCACCTCATTTGTTCTACTATATATAAAACGGAATTAACTTCTTTACTGGCTCAAATTTTGTTTCATAAATAATATTTATCTGGCCTAATTTCAATTTTTTATAAACTCTTCAGTTTATGGGAACTCCATCTTCAAAAATCAGACATTAATTTGCTTTCTGTATTTCTTTCATAAGATTTGCTATCTTTCCTTTGCAAATTTCACTCATTTATTTGGTGACAGCTATTGATTTTGTATTAATGATTCCAGCATCTATCCAGGGAAGGTGACCTAACTTGGCATTGGTTCATTTGCAAAATACTGAAAAATTTTGATTGCAAGCCCAAGATTAGGCAGACGTGTGAAACTAATTCTAAAACAAAATTTTAAACTTTGGCTGAATAAATATAAAGATAGTATCAAAATCATTGACTGAAACAGTTCTACTGTATTCTACTTATATTTTATTATGAGACCCTTATTTAATTCTGGATATCACATTTTAAAAGCATTAAAGAGTGACAAAAACAGATAAGAATAGCAAGAATGGAAAGTTTTTCATAGTCATGTCATAAGAAGACAGATTGAAAAAAAATGGTTGCCAGTAGCTAAATAAAATTAACGCATGACAATTGATGCTTTATGTATTTAATAGAATGCATTTTTATTGGAAATAACAATATTTGAATGTTTCTCATTCTGTTTAAAATTTGAAAAGTATAATCAGTTGTTTAAGTTAAGTATTATATGAAACTATAATTTCAGAATTGAACTTTTCTTTAGATAAAGATAGATGCAAAGTCCTGAGTCTGTTTCAATCTTTTGATCTGTCCTTTCCTACTGGATAGTCTGTTCCCACCAATCTTCACTGCTACTCACTTCTAAGTTCATCTCTCTGCCTTTTGTAGGAGATGCCAAGAATTTCATTTCCTAGTAACTCATTCCCCAGTGGATTCTGGTTTATAGTTTGCTAATAAGAGGAAATCTTGGAAAAGAAATAGGTATTATTCTCCACTGGCAGGTAGATATGTAAATAATGGACACGTGAAATAACTTCCAAGTGAGCCCTTCAGAAATCTATTGCCTTAACTGCTACAGTTCAAATGGTTAATAAGTGCCCCCTGGAGGGTCTTGAGTAGCAAGGTGCCTTTTCTCAGTGCTTTTGAGAACAATTCCCATTGTAGAGAAGGTTGAGATAGTGGAAACTTTCCTGAACAGCAATTCCCAAAGTCCTTCCAATGGCTATTCAAGCCTGCATTTCCCTATCTATAATCTTTCCTATTTGGAAACAATCTCTCCTATTTGGAAACAATCTCTTCAAAACTGCCCTGCTCCACATACACACAAAATAGCAGGTGCAAGCTCCTTATTCTCATGTACATAATCTTTCATGAATTGCTTCTAAAGTACTACCTGAGAATTTCACTTAAAATTAAATGGAATTGATCTCACCTCACCTAAACCTGTGTGGTGTGCTTTTGCCACTCTTAGCAGCTTCAGATATTTCTTTACAGAATCCCTGGTATTAAGTTCTAAATAATCCTCCCATTTCCAGTTAAGTTTATCTACCAAAGAAATATCAAAACTCCATGACATTATGTCCATTATTTGAAATATTAGTATCTATTCCTTTCCTTAGGATTATGCAATATCATTATGGACTTCCTTATATAATTAATTATATTTTTATGTTTTTTGAATGATCTTCACAAATATATTGTGAATTCTTTTGTTGGAGTATTTTTCAAATTTTTATCCTGACAAAGTGTCTACTGTATTGTAATAAGTTAAATAATTCTCCTTTTGCTCTTGGGTATTTGTTTGGAATTTTGACCTTAAACAGTCTTGTATCCAATAATTTAGCAAGCCTACATGTGGTTTGCTACTGATATTCTTTCCAATCACTTTTCCTACTATGAATTTCCCTGTGTCATACAATTCCAGCCCTAGTAAGTATCTTACTGCTTTTTTTTTCTACATCAAGTGTTATGGTTTGAATGTAGATGTCCCCCCAAAGCTCCTGTTAATGCAGGAAGGAAAATGCTTTCAGTCTGGTGGTATAAAAAAAATCCTGTACTTTGAAAGGTTGTCTTTCAGAACTTTGAGAGTTATGCCCAAGAAAAAGAATGAACTTATCAATGTGGTTTCTGTTAAAGGAATATCTGACATGTCTCACAGTTTCTAGCTAGAAGCATGCTTTTTATCTTTAACAACTCTTCCAATAAACAATAAATTAGAGTTTTCTTTGGAGGAATAGATGGAGTTTAAATTTCCTTGCACATCTAAGTCACCAAAATAAAGTTCATAGCTATTTTAATTGAGACTATTATGTGATATATTAGTATAAAAATTGATTTTGTTTTTGAGGTACTGGAGATTGAACCCATGAACTTACACATGCTAAACAAGTACTATACCACTGAGCTACATGTCCAGCCCTTTTTACTTTTTGAGACAGGGACTTGCTAAATTGCGCTGGCTGGCTCTTATGACGTTCCTGCCTACACCATCTCAAAACAATGGGATTGTAGGTGTGCTCTACCATGCCTCCCCAAATTGATTTTTAATGCCTTCCCCCGCTTTATTCATTACTTTATTTCAATTGGTTTTCAGTGTCTCACATTCACATGTGGTCAGGGTAACAAGTTTAAGTTGTATGTAATTGCTTAAATTGAAAATTAG